CCCCAAAACCCCAAAACCCCAAAACCCCAAAACCCCAATATGAATTAAGAGTATTGAGAGTGTAAATATTTAGAAATAGAGCCAAAATTCAAATCTTTGGGATAAATATTCAGTATTTCAGAATATTTGTTAAACTCGGACTCGTTTCTAGAGAGTTGACCGATAGAATTTTATCTTAAGCCATGAATTCGTTGATAATGGACCTAGCATCTTCAGGCATCTCAATAGCTGGAGTCGTGGGTTCATCCGTTGTCTTCTTCTCACACAACATTAAGATGAGTTTGAATACCTCCAATAAAACCTTATTGGCCTTCAAAAGCTGTTCAATATTCTTTTTTGATGTTGAACTCCTAAGTCATAACGTCGTGTTAACTGCTGGGATAACTTTTAGAGGTTCTTCACCATATCTAAACTTGAATTAATCGTCCCACTTTGCTCCTATACACCAATAAGTAGGTTACTGATCATTCCAGTGTTTGAAACTTACTCCTAATCTTTGTGGAATTAAAGCTCTAACCTTTTTAGGTGACAGTTGTATTGAGGCAAACTCGAAGAATCTCAAAAGGAGGCAGTCTCAATATAGTTTCTTTAACGGGTCAGTATAAACCCCATCTCCATTTTCCTCTAATCAATCATCTTCTTGAGGTTGTGTTTGAAGCTCTTGGTGATAATCCTGAAGACCTGGCTGAGATAGTAATTCCATACACTTTTTGAAGGTGATAAAGCAAGCTTTAGCATAATTGTCTCTAAATTTCATAATGATTAGTTATATACCTCTCTGCATTTTTATACCTTTTTCTTGGATCTGCCATTCCTATTGGAGCATTCTGAAAACTTCTTTGCCCATTCTAAACACATAAGTAACTCGATCATCCTTATTTTCTTCTTCTATTCCTCACAAAGTCCTCTAATTTCAGCCTAATGTATTCAGTCAACTTCTGGTTCATCTCTTGAAGGGTGAAATCTTTATCTTCCTTTTCTCTGGCCCCTCTGTTTAGGGTTCTTTCTTCCAGTTCTAAAGGATTTTTAGAGAGAACTTACTTGGCTCAATATTCAAAAGTGGCCTAAACTCTATGCCAATTGAGTTAGTCTCCCTTTTAAAGCCAGAGGTTTATGAAGTTTAAGTATACAATTTTTGAGTGAGATAAGGAGATAATTGCTGATCCAAATTTGAATTCAGCAGCAAGTTCAAAAATTGTGTTTGGCAACATTTTTGTGGTAATACAGTCGTTGGTTGAGTGACCAGAAAACATTGCCTTTGTATATAATTTGAAGCTCCTGAGTCTAAGAAGGCGGTAATCTGAGCAAAACCTCTTTATTTTTAGAATAAATTGTGATTATAGTTGATATTGTAAGAAATCATACTGAGATTTTGAAAGAAGACCTATTCAAAAATATCTTATTTGAAAAACTCTCAAAGAAAGAGACAATAGCTTATATGAGATTTAATAATTTTGTTCCCTAAGAATACCAATAATTTTAACCATTTCCCCACTGATAATGATTTGAGAATCTCATCCACTGAAGTAAACTTAAAATAAACTGAGGCGCAAAGCCAGCGTGTCAGAACTGTTTCGGTATTGCCAACCCATTATCGACCTATATATGGGACGACTACCAGATCCCAAGGAAGCATAAGACAAACTATTCTTATTCTCACTGAAAATTATTTTAGAATAATTTTTTTTATAAATACAATAAAATAGCAAGCTTTCCTAAGCCATGAATTTGGGCTAACAATGAGCCATCATAAAGAGATATTAATCGATTAAACCTTTCTGAATGGCCGAAGCCAGCTAACCTTTAAGGAATCTTGTGGTAATGACAATCAAAATTGCTTAAAACTTTCCCAAAAGAAAATATTCTTTCGAAACAAAGAACAACGACGCTTAATCGCAATCCTAGTTTATTGGCACTATTAACAGGGACTTACAAAGGAGTTCAGACTAAATAATAGAGTAGAGGGCACTTTTTACAAGTTTAACTGATCCCACAACGGGGAAGAACTGAAGCATTCAAAACAGGCGTTTGGGAGTACCTTCATATTTTAAGTCTCAGATCTCCTTGGAATTTAAGCATGTCACACAGTCTGTTGATACTCCCTCTTTTGAGTGATTCAGACAAATTTTGAGGTTCCTTAGATGTTTAGTGAGAGGCATGAAGCCTCATCTCCCGGGAATATTGGAACAAAGCTGAGGAAAACCAAGAGGAAGAATATTTTTTAAATCGTCTAAAAAAATGGTAATTTTTGGAAGTAACCTATACTCACCTGATGGCTGATACATTCTTAGAGATCTCTGATCTTGGCGAGTCTGAGATATCTCATCATCCTAAACACAAATTTATTCACTACAAATGACTAATCTCAATTTCCCCTAAATTTCCTAAAATACAGCCTAAAGCCATTACTCAAAATCCCAAACAAAAAATCCCAAGAAGCCGCCTCAAAACCCTTCCAACCACACTTCCCCAAAACCCCCAAAACCCCCTCAAAACCCTCCCTCCACCACATCCTGCATTCCAGGATTTAAATCACCCTCAAAAATACTCACTTCACAAATCCCCTCCTTCCTCTCCTCTCCCTCCTCCCCAGGCCCTCCAGTCCTTGCCAAAACCTGTCCTTGCTCCCCTCAAGGGGCAAAGTACGCAATAACCTCCAAATTCCTGGTTAAACTCAGTAAAGCAGGAGGCTGGGGCAGGGGCTTAGGTTTAGCTAAAAAATTAGAAGAAATCATATAATTTTAATATATTTCAACTGTATTGTTTCCAAAAGGGGTTTTGGGGTTTTGGGGTTTTGGGGTTTTGGGGTTTTGGGGTTTTGGGGTTTTGGGG